ATCCCCTGTTTCGCACTTTCAGTATGTGTTTATGTTAATAATATTCTGAAAAGCATAAATGGATTTGTGTCTATTGATTCATTCATAGAGCTTGAAGCCAAGGACTCCTATGGTATTAGTGATGCGGGATTCGAAAATGAAGCGACCTATAAACATGCTCGCAGTCTCGTTGAATTAAACTATCGAAAAAATTTGCGAAGTGTGAAACCGTAAAGATTGACAGCATTCACTTTTAAAAATATCATTTCTATATAGTTCTTATGTACTTTTTAGAATGGCCATGTCCGAACTATCAGATTTCAAAACTAGAGTATTATTGGGGGCTGTTGGTTCAAGATTCATGTAAGTGACGCTGGTTTTCATCGTTAGATAATTGCACTCTGTATTGTTTTCTTTTGAATTTAGGGAAACCACTCTTCAATCATCGGCAGTCATCGAATGAATTCGCTATTTCTAACAAGCGGAAAATTACTGACAATAACTTAGTGTTCTCACAATATTTTTTTTTTATTTCTTCTACTAATAATCTTGAACTAAGCGTGTGATTCAAAATTTCAAAAAAACTCTTTAGCCTCTCTAGTTATCTTGATTGCTAACACGATTTTTGATATATTAAAGTCTGCCGATCTACCGTCCCTTTCTTTTTGACCACTGCTACTATCATAACACGAATCAGGTTCATGAGAAGCAAATCTTGAAAAATAAGACTGAGAGGGAGTGGAGACGCAGCAATACAGAGTCTGCTGCTAAAAGGAAAAATGTTCACAAATAAGAAGAAATTTATCAAAGAAGTTTCCCGTGCTATCAAAAGAAAGAAAGAGTTGGATTCTCTTTTTCATTTGTGCATCGAAAGAAATTGATGCACTTGACATATCAAATGATTATATAAACAACTAATATTTATTAGCCATCAATTAATGGAAGCAGTTTTCACTTCAAAATGTAATAGATTGTATAGTTAAATAAAAGAAGGCGTTTCGATATTTTTATCAAGAAAAAAAAATCAAAGAAGCTGTGTACGAAGCTTATTCTCTTATTGCTACAAGAGAAACATTTTTTTAATCGAATTCTCAAGTCAAAATATTCTCCTACAGCCATTAGTTTTTCAAAAGTTTATCAAACTTGAAATATATTTCCCAACGTAGACTCGTGCACATTGATAGATTCTATACGTCTGGGTGGTGTGGGTGTGGGTGTGAGTGTGAGTACCTGTTTTCTTTTCACTGACACCCACACCCACAAAACTCTTGCTCTCGTATCACTTGTTTATTCTTGCCGCTTGTTGAATGATATATCCTAAAATTAATCGAATCAGTTAATGATAAAGACGACGTCATATAATTGGGATCAGTGATTATTATTAATCGAGAGACGCTACTTGATTGAGTCAGAGGAGAGTTATAAGAATAGAATCAGACGAAATGATAAACATAGGACGATGATAGATTTACCTTTCAGAATATGCTCATGTTCCTTTAGTAGTTGGCAGCCATCTTGAATGTAAACAGATTGTTTCAAGAGTACTTGCATCACCATTGTCGACCTTTGATTATTGATTATGAGAGTAGCAGGGCTGATGCCGAGTACTTTGTATCTCAGCAAGTTTCTGACGCATTGAAAACTATAAATAAGCTACTTTGATTGTGTCGTTGATCGAGTTGTTATTGTCACATGTCATGGTCGACTACACAAGCAGAAAACTGGCTCATCAGTAGTAAGAATTTTACGGAAAAATACATCATTTTCCGATTTATATGTATAGACAATCGCAGGAAATAATTTTTCCATTCACCTGAGCATCGTTTGTATTTCTCCAGTTCAATACGTAAATTTGCAAAATCTGTCTATTCGATGACACATAAAACTATCGACAACAATTAAGGATGCAAGGGAAGCTAGCAGTTGATTCGAGTTTTTATCAAACCAATTCGCTCGAACCTAAAATATCGAGGATGTGAGTGTGGGTGTGGCTGAGGATGTGGATGTGTGTGGGTGGTGGTGTGAATGCTCTCTAGATCTGCACTCACATTAACATCCACATCATATACATCAAGGTTAAGGTTCTGTTTATTCTATATGTTTAGAATTTTAATCTAAAAGATGCATGTTTAAGTGTTCAAAAATGAACCTATTGGTAAACTTGATAATATTAGTTTTAGTAATTTGTTCTATTTCGACATGAAAGACAAAATTTTATAAAGATTTTTAACAGATGTCGACTATACTTTTTATAGTTCATCGATAAACTATTTAGGCATTTATCACGTCATGCATCACCCGTTTTAATATGTGTACGTTTCTAAACATTCTGCATTCCTTCATATACTAACAATGGTTAATCAATTTTTGCAGCACATAGTTAAAACTTTCAAGTCAGTATTTTGTACGACAAAAAGATATGCGACGCCAAGATGTAAAAAGTGACTCGAAATCTGTCGCACACTTATTTGTAAGGCGATGTAGAATAATCTTTCCATTCATCATGACTTGCACGATCACTGTTTTTCCTCAAAATTCGCTTTTTATAAAGATTCACTATGTTCATTTGCTGCCTCATAAAACTGTTTTCGAGATTCAAGTTATGATGTTGAATAAGAAGTCGTCACTTACTTATGATAAGATAAAATATGTGAAAATGAATGCTCTACTTGTTTATTTAAAGTTTATGTAAACAAATAGTTATTCATTCTTCTATTGATAATTAGAACAACAATTAATAAAAAAATTTGCTATTTCACGCCTATTAAAACGAATTCTGTCTAAGTTTAATTTTGCCTATGACATCTATATTGATATATAAAAAACAAAATTATTAGTTTATTTAGATTTAGTCCAGCAGCTGATGCAATTGTAAGTATAAATTCAGAAAAATAAAATTATTATATTTTATGTAGATTTGGTTCCACAGCTGATACAATCGTAAGTATGAATTAATAAGAAATGAATTATCATTATTTTATTTAGATTTGATTCAACAACAAATCTAGTCGTAAGTATTTGTTTATAAAATTAAATTAAGCATTAATTGATAAAAGAAATTAGATCTTTTGTGTTGACGGCGTGAGGGAGAATGGTGAGGTGTATTGAATAAGAATCGTCAGTTGACCATGGTTAACCGCTGGTTTTCGACCGATTGGAACGACATGCGTTCTCTGTTTTTACACTGCATCGTAAACTGCTACCAGAACGGCAGTCATTTTTTATTATTTTCGTCTCATTTATAAACTATCCTTATGACATGGATAACCAGAAAAATGTTTCTTTCTATCGTAGTTTATAGAATTGTTTTTGCTGATCATTTTCGTTAAAAAGATTATTTGAAATTCATTTAGAAATGGCAATATCATGGTCAAAATACTAAACAGTGTAAAAATAGCTTAAAATACAAATTTTGACAGTCAAAAACTGTAAACTACACATAAACATTTATTCGTGTATCCTAAAATGACTATATTCTGAAGAGATATGATATGATGAGTTTTGTAAAGTAAAGTTTGTTGTTCAAAATCTTTTAATCAGTTCTTCAGATACAATCGAATAATGCCTAAATCTTGACGAAATATTGTGACCGAAATTCATCGTTTAAACTTCTTTTTTTTTATGATAAAATTCGTTCACAATATTCTATCAAGATTTAGGCCTGTTATTCATCTGAATCTTAAAAACCAATTATGAGGTTTTGTAGAGTCAACTTTACCGTATAAAAACGCATCATATTACATCTTTTCAGAATACATAATCATTTTGAAATATATGAATCGACTTTTATGGATAGTTTATCATTTTTTATTACCAAATTTACATTTTAAGCTATTTTTACAAAGTTTAGTACTTTGACCATGGTATCGTCATTCCTAAATGAATTACAAATCATTTTTTTTAACAAAAATGATCAGCAAAAACAAGTTTACAAACTATGATAGAAAGAAACATTTTTATACACTTTGTATTTTTCTGGTTGACTATCAATGAAATCATCTATTTATCAATTTAAAAATATGCATATATCAAATCGATTTAAGATTTTCACTTTAGACTGCAGTACAAATCTAGAGTCTATCTTCAACTCTTGATCGAAATTATTTTCTGATTTATAGATTTCCATCTTGCACAGATAACTCTACCAAATTTATCTAAAGAAGACATGTATTTCTTACAGTTATTTTATCTTGTAAAGTTATTTGGAACTGTTGCGACAATATAGATTTCGATGATTTATTTAAACATTGTGACAATTAGCAGTCTTAGCCCAGAAAATCCCCTAGCATCCACATTTACGAGTAAATTCAATTGATTGTTTTCAATTTTATCTCAAAAAAATTTGATATTATATAATACAACGAGATTTACACTGAAAATAAAACGAAATTTAAATTCATAATCTGTTTATACGTGGTTTTAGAATAATGAAAAGTTGTATATTCGAAAACTCAATAAAAAAACAACAAAACTGTATCAAAAAGTTTCATCTGAAAAATATCATAGTATTATTCTTACTCTTGCTTGATGTGATAAGTTTCATTACAAAGGTTTTTGTCACCTGCAAAGTTTTTCCATTTAACGAAGACGAGCGCAATAAACTTCTTAAAAAGTGATATTGATAATACATCTTAACAATTATGTTTCTCTTAATAGTATAAACTAGTGCTTCATGCCTACAAATCATCTCATATCATCAAGTTTCTGCGAGTAGACAATCAAATTATGACACAGACCCTTGCACTCTACAATTTCTGAAATAAAGTTTTTCACCATTCAAAGCTCGCTTTGCTCTCATTCCACTGTCGATCTCGATAAACTGCATCGTATATATACGAGCTCTAGAGGAAACCTATTAAGGTCGATAATGTTTGAGAACAACAAGATATAAAAGCAGTCATTTCTTACTAAATGCAGGACAAGAAGATCTTGATAATACTACTATGTATTAATCGCATCAATAAAGCTTGATCCATGGATTTTTTACGTCTCTATAATGGAACTATTTCAGATAGTAGAAAATGAAAAAACGTTCATTGATGATGGCAGGGTGTATTCTTGTTGCATGTCAATTATCTCTGATGCTTACTCATCAATATTTTGGATCTCAAGTTAAAAAAAGCGTTATGTCTAATTTAACTTCATTAATGATACCATTCGAACATATGACTCGAAATTCGACATTCTGCTGCTCGGATGTTACACTTCAAGAGCGATATAAGTTGGAATTTCAACAACTTGAACATTATCGTTTAGGTCAATCTTATAAACAACCAACAATACATAGACATTCAAAACAGTATAACATATCCACACTGCCAGAATTACCTTATTTCTATTCATTATGGAAAACATCATCGATTCTTCCTCGTCTAATAACACCATGCGAGCACCACGTATATGTCAAACTAATGAAGACATTCGATGAAATATGTCAAGCAAATGCGATAGAATATATGATTAGTTATAGCACCTTGCTAGGATCATATAGAAACCATGGTAAGATCTTTAAAACTTGGTTTTAAATATTTCTTTTTTCATTCAGAAACCTCTTTCAAAATATTTGTAATCGGATTAATAGGCAAGAAGGTATTTTGCCTAAACATTTAATTATAAAGTTATTACCAAGCGCCACATATATATATATATATACTGTATCGAAGCTATTTAGACTAAGTAGAGAACAACATTCCAAAGGGTGAGGATTCAAAAATTTGTAATGGTTACGTAATTGAAGGAAGGAGTTTGCGAGAGTTGACACTTAATTATTCTAGGAGGAGGGAGATCAAAATGGGCAAGAAGTTGATGACGTATTACTTCAGCATTTCTGATCATTTGAATGACGTTATTAAACTTGATAGCAACAATTAGTTTTTCTTCCAAATACGAGACATTTATTTGATCAAAAAGTCAACAATCTACGAGCTCTTAAAAAAAATTGAGACGAAACATTCTTTTTTTGTCCTGTCATTCTTCCATAACTCGCTCAGAAAACGGAAAGCTCAGACGTGGAAAAGATCAATGCAAGTGTTGGTGTGTCATAATTAAAAATTAAAGTATAGATTGATAGTCAGTGTAAACCATATGATTACTGGTAAACTAAATATTACTCATGTATAGACTAGACCTATAAGCTAATTATAAAATTGTTACAACTTTTGCCATTGGAACTATTTGATAATGAGAGTACAATGATCGGATTATTTTAATAGTTGTATGAATAGATGAATACGCGTTAAAGTAGTAATTGTAACACAAACAGATGCAAATGTAAACAAGCGAATATTTTATACAATTCATAATGTTGTCATTCAGCAAAATGTGGCAATAAATAATGTTTGATTTTAAACTATTCGTTTTCTTCTTGTATGTATTGTGTCAATTTTTGTGAATAGTTTGGATATTATTGGGTTTTTAATCAAGTAATTGTCTATTGCTCAACAAAAAATAATTTTTGCTATCAAGTTTAATAATGTTGTTCAAATGGTCATTGATTCTCGTATCCAACTTCGTCCAAACAATTACGATAAACATGATAAGTTTGATACGACATATGTATGAGTGTAATAACATGCGGTAACATATCAAAGAAAGAAGGGCAAAAACAAAAATAGAGAAAATTTCAACTAATTACTAAAATAATGACTAGAAAAAACCATTAGAATAAAGTATTATTAAATCATTTCTTGATGTAATTTATTGCAAACGTTGAATGTCTGTAATAGTTTTTAAAACAATCGTAAATGTCATATTGTTTTTGGCATGATCTTGTATCCATGAGTAGGCCTTAGTGAGGCTATAATAAGTTCAAAACAGTTTTAGGTTTTTAAGCTTTCAATCTCAAGATAAAAATTCTAGTTTTATCACTTCTCTTCAGAGAAACTGCTGCTTATACGAAGATATCGATTTTTTCCCACCAATGCTGTTTACAAGTCTTACTCTATATACTCATTTCAAGTACTTGAAACTGAAATCTTACATTTTGATCAGTAGTTTTCGATGTCAAGAACACTAAACACAAATTGATATTGTAAAGTTTCATAGAAATTATTCCTAATATTTCCCAAAATATTTCTAAAATCTTTTTTTACGTATAAAAGCCAGCATTATTACATGTTTATGAGCTGAAATTATGATATTCGTAATCAGAATGAAAAAGAATCCTTTGAACACAATCACTTTCTTTTTTATAAGTCATTTCGAGTGTTAACTCGGATCGATCTGGTTGATATTAGAACGCAATTATCTCATTCCTATATAATTGTTTATGTTCTCAGGTAAGAACTTGAACAAGTCCACATCGGTAAGCATATACAAAATACAGCAAATAACTGAGTGAAATGTTACATTATTTTCGTAGATAAATGCAGACGAGTTGTGTCACAAATAAAAATAAACAGGCTGTACCTAAAATAAAGAGACTTTTGGTACTTGTTACTATTTTTTATGAATGGTTCACTGTGGCGAAAAGTAGATATTTAAAAAATTCCATTTTTTTTTATGTGGAATATTCAAACTAAAAAACGCTTTCAAGAAGAGTTATTTGATTTCGGAAATAAAATTCTTTTACTTTTAATAAAAGCAAAGAATGATTTAGCTGATCGGATCTTAATTGTGTTTTTCATATTAAGAGCAATTTCTTCAAAAAACTACTAATCACAGCCCTATTATAAGAAAAAGAGTACTTTTCTAACTAGTGGAATCGCAATTTTACACCTCCGCATCTTTACTAGCTGTACTGCTCATAGGTATAGATTCCTATGCGGCATAATTTTCTGTTATCCAAAGTCCATACACTCAATCGTATGAAGAAAGCATTTTGTCCTGTAAAGAGAATGATAGACTTTCTTGTATTATTTGTTCTGTATACTAGTAGCTATCGTACGGTTTAATTCTAGTCAGATAACAGTATGTTCGTATTCATAATGAAAAACAAGTTCGATTGATTGAAACGTATGAGTAATTCATCTACTAGATTTAGGTCAGAGTATAACCATTTACAGTCAACGTTAAGAACTATCCACATAGCCTATATATAGGAGCAAATTACTTCGCTGTTAACTAAAGTTATTACTTGTTTATTATTAGTTGAACTGAAGTTACTATAACTATATGAAAATGGTCAATTGCACAAACTTATTTTTAAGTAGATTTTATGTCTCTTCAGTGTAACTATTGCATATTGTGTAATTAAACAATGCTCATTGTGTTTCGCAAATAATTTAATGGGCAGTATATACATTCTTTCCTTTTCTTTTAAGATCTGTTAATTACACATTTTAAATAAAACTGTAAAAAATGTAAAAAACAAAGATTTCATTATTTAACCTTCTTTTTTCTTTTGTTATTAAGATATACTACCATATGATGATGATGTCGATGTATTAATACATATTAAATATTATTCACATCTATCAAAACTAAATGCGTTTAATAATAAAGCGGACGGAAAATTTTATATACGCTCACCTACAACTATGAAGTTTTATTTTCAAGCATCTTCTTCCGCGGGTGTTTTTAGATGGAAATGGCCCTTTATTGATATTTTTTTTTATACGGATAATTCTACACATATTGAATCGGATATCTCTATCGAAAAAGATATTATATTTCCACTAATATTACGTCCAATAGCTACTCTTTGGTTACCTGGACCACGTAATGTGCATATGTTTATTAAAAAGATATCAGAATATTATTATTCAGATTTAGCATTTGATGATAAGTGTTATTTACAAAAATATTCACATCGAGATGAAAAAGAAAAATATAAACAGAAAACTGTGAATTGTACACAATTACGTAATGTTTATCCATATATTCGACGAATTTGTGATAATGATTATTGTGATGAATATTTTATGTTAAATGACGTAACAACATTATATGTTCTGAAAATGGCTAAAGATAAATAATAAAGATTTGATCAATACTTCTTTGCTTATTATAAATATTGTTTACCATGCGTGCGTAGTGCATTAGTTTAGAAAAATATGATATAACCTATTTTACCTACTTTGTGGTACCTGCTGCTTAACAGATACTCACTATCCAGCAGTACCCAGGATATACTAAAATGCCGCACCGTAGTAGCTTCAATGCTAGCTATGATATGGGCTCAGATCTCGAAAATCAATTTTGTCTCCCGGCTGTTCACTGTGTCCCACATCCACACCACCCAGATATATTTACAGATGAAGCTCGTCCATGATAACCAACTGGTAAATGTAACCAATTTGGATTGAGAGTATTTTCTTTTCCATGAAACATTGTAACAACATTTGTTGCATGTTCTTTTAAACAATAAAAAACGATATAATCACCTAAAAGAAAAAATAATGCGAATGCCAATATCATAAATAAAACATAAAGTTAAGAAGATTTGGTTTTTTTATATGAATTAATCAAGCAGCTTAGATTAATTTATTTCCATCTATCTGTGTAAGTACATTAGGGTGAGAGAGAAAAGAAAGTGAAAAACCTTGCAAAACTCGAATCTCACTCACACATTTACCCTCATCTAGGCCCCTCCTCACGGTTACTCAGACCTCCCTTCACTCTTACTATTATTCGTGACTCTCTTGTGCTCTAATTGTTGGTATTTCTTTAAGTACTGTAGTTCATTAAAGTGATATTCCAATTCTGGTTAGACGAAATGAGAATTTCAGTTTTGACTAGGCAAATTTTGAATTTGACTCAATTCTAATTGTGGCTTACAATGTATATAAATCATATCGCCAAACATATATATTGAATAATTTGAATAAGATTAATTAAATAAGTGATAAAAACACATATAACCTTCGTTACAACTTTCAAGAAAAATATATTAAAAAAGTAAATATTCACATTTAAATAAAAAACGTACAATTTCTCATAATAATTCAATATGATTTCCGACTCTCGTAATATAATACACAAAGCAATAACATGTTGCTTCATCTTCATTTACTTCTCTAACAAAATGATTATCAATATTAACTAATTCTGGAAAATATGCAACAATTTCTCCAGCTTATATAACTTGTAATAAGTGTGAATATTTTCTTTTCTTCATTCATAGTTGAATGTGTAAAAGATTTTGTTGAACACCGTTTTGTTTGTAATTCTCACACGCGCTTGTCAATAAGGAGATAATAACATTTTTGAAACTCTTACTCACGATATCGATCAAACATGTGTACCAACACATGATGTTGTTTCGCATTTAGAAACCAGACCATAAATTAATGATAGTTTAATTTCAAGAAAATCAAGTACTTTCTATATATCGACATTGAAGGATGGAGTAAAAGTGGTGGGAATGAATGGGCTGTATATGAATGACGTATGAAGGTTCTTAAGAATAGTTTTATTGCATTCCCCATAGTCGGATGATAAAAAAGAGTCGATTGAAAATTTATTCTTGAGAACAAGGACTTATTTTGATAGCGAATCATCGAATTAATGCATATTTTGTTATCGCTATAGTATCAAATGACTTTTAAGACGCGCAATTTCATTGTCATAATAAATAAATTACATTTTTAAGCATGTTTGATTTTCAAAGAATACTCAAAAAGAAACCGTTTGAAATGATATTTTCCCATTAATTATAGTCGTAGAAGATGTTGGTGATTCTTATTAAATAATCATTAATTATTTTTAGTTTCGGTAATGATTAAACTATACAGACAATAGTTAAAATATAAGATTTAACTGAAAATTTCCTTTGTTAAGGGATTTAATCATCTTCAGTGACATAAAAGATTTCATTCAATTATGATTTCAAAACACATTTAGCCAATGATCAATTTTTTGAACTTCTTTGGCAATATCACTATATAATTGTTCTTAGAATTTATTGCTACTACGTGAAATTATGGATTTTTTTTCTGTACATATTCGACGACAATAATTGTTTTTATCGCTACTTTCTTTTTACATATTCATTTAAACAGGCAGCTATGGATATGACAACGCTAATAGACAGGTCATTAAAAGATAAATATAAATATAATTGTCACTTCTATGCGATGATATTAGAAGATATATATTCATTGCATAATCATCAAATAACAACTAATCTCAATGTCTTTACCAACTACTATTGTAAATAATTATCATGTTCATATCTCGTGCATCGGAAAAGTATGTAGTAAAAAAGAATCGTATCTACTAGGCATATATGATTAGTCAAGTGACACATACGAGTCACTCGAAATGCAATGTAATGTTCATCATATTTTCGAACTCTTCTACAATATATTCGAGCATTTTTCATCAAATTTCTATCATCTACAGGAGATATCAAATCATGATGAGCCGTTTTTAACCGACCACACAACTTTTGATAATATTAATGTCACAAATATTACTTCAACCATTTTCATTTTGTCAGAAGACAAGCATGAAGAACTTTTGTTTTTCATCATTTAATTAGAAAGAAGATATGAAAAATATACGGA